ACGTAGACGGTAACATCCTGGTGGCTCCTGGAATCACAGCACATTTTCCCTGCCGGATGAGACGTTCGGCCTTGGCCTATGATTGGCAGACGCTCACAGCTCGTGCATTGCAGTTGTGAAGGTGACCTTCTCTCAAGCTCTACGTGAGCTTGCTAAGCGTGTGGTCAGTAGTCACCAGCTGCAGCCTAAACAATGTGAACATCCCCCCCCCCCCCAGGTTTTATCAAAGTCTATCATCTACTACTATCATCTTTACTCCTTGTCTATCTACTACTCTGTCTATCTCTATTCTCTATAACTACTGTATACCAGCGGCAGCCATGTACTGTTCTCCCTTCAGGGTGTGTCGTGGCCCACCATTTGCTACATGCTGGGCGAAGTCCAGTACGGCGGTCGGGTCACCGACGACTTCGACAAGCGTCTGCTGGTGACGTTCACCCACGTCTGGTTCTCGGAGCGGCTGGTGCGGCCCAACTTTGCCTTCTACGAGGAGTACCGGGTACCGCCGGGCCGCAGTCTGTCGCAGTACCTCGAGTACATCGCCGGGCTGCCGGATGCCGACACGCCGCAGCTGTTTGGGCTGCACGCCAATGCTGATATTACGTCAGTAACTGAGAGAGGGATGCACGGAGCCCGGAGGGGTCGGAGCTGTTTCTGCACCGCACGGAGAGACCGCACAGAATGGGGCACCCTGCTATTGCACGGAACACGTCGGAGCTGCTTCTAAGAGAGCGCACTGAGCGGGCTCATGGAATGGAGCGTTCAGTCGGTGCACGAACACGTTGGATTCACTTGCACACAAAAAAGCGCACGACTTGGGGCTTTGGTAGCACTTAGTGTATTAACTGCAGTTCTGTGAGGAAGCACGGCACAGCATAATAGTGCAGCGTTCAGGGTGAGACAGCTTTGCTGCACAACGCGGATGAGAAAATGCGATATCATAAAGCACAATCACTCCGCTGCACAGCAGAGTTGAATATCGCACAGCTGGACGGAAACTAAGGAGTTGTCCTACGGCGCGTGTAGAATACTCTTATGTCGACAGTCGTGTACCGATAAAGAAGAAACCGGAGAGAGCCCGAGTTGTGAACAATGACTTTTGAACACTTGGAACAGCTATTGACAAAACAATTCTGGTCCGGCTGAATGGCGGCCGACGAAACCATGTTGAATTTTATCTCTCCCTGCATGGTAAATATTTCGTTTGTATGCTGCGTTCGTTTTCTTGGCAGCTTGCTGCACCACCATGGGCACTCATGTGCACCGTTCATGCATGATGTGTTTCTGTGCAGTGTGCATCGTATCACCTCCACGTGTAAACTTATCGTCGCCGCTCTGTTTTAAAGTTTGGTGACTATTTGAACAAGACGGCGTTGAATTTGTGGATGATGTCGAACATGCGTTTTTAGTCAATTTGCCGCTTACCTTACTAAGATTGTTTACGTTCAAATCTCATCACGTCCCGTTAATTTATCCAATCTGTGCTTTGCCCCATTCACACAGGTACCAGATTAACACGGCCAAGGGAATCCTGGACACGATCCTGAGCATTCAGCCCAAGGAAGGCAGCAGCATGGGCGGCGAGACCAGAGAGGCGGTCGTCAACCGGCTCTGCCAGGACATGCTGGCCAAGCTGCCGTCGGACTACGTCGGCTTTGAGGTGAGGCTGGACCTATGGAAGGGGTAACTGAAGGGCAGGGTGTTGAGAGTGTGGAGCTGTGGCATATCTGAGGGAAACTGATCATTGACATGATGTCAGTGATATTCCTCGCAGTTGTTGATGTTCTCTGGTGCTATTTCCGTTTTGTTGTTTACACTGCATTCCGTCACTGGACGGATGGCTCTGCGCCGTCTCGCTGCACACGGAGAACTGCCGAGCGGATAGTTAATCGATGATCTGTCGTACTTTCCCAGGTTCGGGAGCGGCTGCAGGCCCTCGGGGCCCTGCTGCCCATGACGATTTTCCTTCGACAGGAAATCGACCGCATACAGCAGGTAAGTGCGACCGATAGCACGATGTGGGTGGGTGTGGGAATCTATTCTGTTTGCTGTGTTCGTCTTCTTCGTATAAACAATGTTCTTTGCTGAGACGATTGCGCAAGAGTAAGCCGTATATATTGATGGCTTGTTTGTTTGGGGTATTCTGGGCTATGGGCTACGGCACATAGCTACTTTCTTCTCCTTGCAGTATGTTTTCTTTTTGTAACCAACAGGCTAGGTATGTTGTATAATTGTATCCAAACGACGCATCACTCTTCGTAGATATCGTAGGCTATTCATCATTTCCAAAGGTTCAGCCAGACGTTAAATAGATTTGTTGTAACGCCCTGCGTGTGCTTGATCACTTGTTTACGCGGCCAATGACTGATCTCTCTTCCGCCCCGCTACGAATAAAAACATGAGCCGGACGGTTAACTAACCTTTTTCGAACATGACAGTGCATGATAACGAGTAAATACATGACATTGCTGTTATCAGACCAAAGTCCACAGCGCTCTTTTTAGTCACACGTGGCGTAAAGTTGATCTAATCTGCCCTGCCCGCACAGGAGGCAATGCCCCTCTGCATTACCGACTGATATATGTCGTAAACACTCCACACAAGTGGAGCTCCACCCTCGCAGAGGAAGCTATCATTGGCTGCCACTGGTATCGCGCGACGAAACTCCAATGGGCGGATTTTATCGGAACAATGCTAACATTGTCCCGCTATGCGCACGACTCGAAAATGGCAGACCGATAAGCTATCTTGGTATGTGGTCTGATAAGTCAGTGCTAGTCTTTGTCTGCTCCGGACGTTGTTCTTGGTGTGGTAACATTTATGTAACTAATCTAGCTACGTTGATCTTCCGTTGTGCGTGTATTTGGGTGGAAAACGGAATAGCAAATACAGCGGATGTAAAATGTATGCAGACCCCTTAGTACGGTAGATAGACGAAAGCGCTGAGAGATACCGGGAGCTGGAGATCCTCTCTCTCCTCCTGGCGGAGCCCCTAAAGTCTCCAAAACCTTCCGTCACCAACAGGTGATCAGCGCGGTTCGCCAAACGGTGTGTGACCTGCGGCTGGCCATCGAGGGCACCATCATCATGTCACAGTCGCTGCGAGAGGCGCTGGACGCCATGTACGACGCCCGCGTACCCTCCAAGTGGCACAAGGTGAGACAACAGCGACCCCCCCCCCCCCCCGCCATCGTGAGGCTGGGGTATGATGGGTAGTGCTGGCGGCTGTTACTCATGTCAATTCAGTGGCAGGATGGGAAATAACGCGACTCGTGCAAAGCTGCGGGACCTCTGGGTGTGCTGCGCCAGGCTGCAGTAGATGCGGCATCTGCAGTGTTATAAAATGGTTTATGTGAGAGTCCATGGGAACTGAAGCGCCTCCTCCGGCCTCTGTGGGAATATCTATTGTGCGGGGACTCTAAGCTGAATGGTCTTAGCAGCTTAGTTCCCATGGCGATTGTCGTGAATCTTCAAGGGCGACTCCGTCTTGACAATCGTGACTTAGCAGCCGATTCGTGTGCCTAGGTGTTAGAAGTGAATATGCCTTCCCGTATCTGCAGTGCATATTGTGTCTGCATGTGTGCTTATTTGCGTAATAGCTTTGTATCTTTGTGTGTGTTTGAATTAACCTCCTCGGCCCCAGATCTCTTGGGACTCGAGCACGCTGGGTTTCTGGTTCACCGAGCTGCTGGAGCGCGACAGCCAGCTCAAGGTGTGGCTGTTCAGCGGCCGGCCCAAGGCCTTCTGGATGACGGGCTTCTTCAACCCGCAGGGATTCCTCACCGCCATGAGACAGGTGGGCTCTGCCACGAGAAACTTTGAATGCTATCTATCTAGTATGCATCAATTGGTATGCTCCTCCAAACGGGTAACTAGCAAGCTTTCTTTCTTTCTTGCACATTCTACCTGCCATCCATTCGCGTTTCAATGTATCCCAGACCTTCTCCCCTGGCTCGCAGCCGACTCCTGTAACCCCATGTGACCACCTCAGGAGATCACGCGCGCCCACCGCGGCTGGGCCCTCGACTCCGTGGTGATGCAGAACACCGTGACCAGCTTCACCTACGAGGAGATCGACGAGCCTCCGCCCGAGGGTGTCTACGTGTACGGCCTGTTCCTGGAGGGAGCCGCATTCGACCGCAAAACTGGCAAACTGGTCGAGTCTAAGCCAAAGGTGGGTCAAAGTTCCGCAGTTAGTGGAGCTCTCGTACACTTGCCCGTGGTTTGCGTCTAAAAAGGTATTTCGTAGAACGATAGAGACCGTCGGCTATGTTTGGATAGCTGCTAGAGCCGGCACTTGCGAGTGCTGTATCAGGTTTCATACTTGTTTTGATAGCCTGGCTATGCCGTCAAGTGTCATATCACGTGTCTGAGCCGCACTCGGCTGTGGCGTGAGTTTAAAGCCGTACCGGTGATTCAGCTTCAATGCATTTCATGGAAGAATGCGTCTTTGAACAAAACATCATTTTGCAATGTTCTACCACCACAATGGGCCAACATTTACCGTTTCACCAAGCAAGCACAGCGAATATTATCTGTTGTTTCTTTTGTCAAGTGATTCTCACCACTCACTACTGCCGGGTGCCCCCCCCCCCCCCCACACACACACAACACTCCCCGTCTCACAGATTTTTACCCTCCCCCCCCCCTTCACACAGGTGCTCTACGAGCCGATGCCCACCGTTTACATATACGCCATCTCATCCACGGGCGGTAAGGACCCGCGGCTGTACGAGTGTCCCGTCTACCGCAAACCGTGCCGAACCGACCGCACCTATATCGGAAGTATCGACTTTGAGACCGAGCTGAGCGCCACACACTGGACACTGCGCGGCGTGGCGCTACTCTGTGACATCAAATAAAACGGGAGAGGAGAGGGAGAACTTAAAATAACTATGTTAGGGTCGCAGTGCGATACAGGCGTTGGGTACGGTAAAGCATAGACAGACTCTTCGAGCTTGTCGAACTAGTCCTGTGGGAGCTGCGGTGTTGACGGTAGTGGTATTTTGAAGTAGTGTACGTAAAGGAACAGTCAAGTTATCTGATCTGGTTAACAGTAGCATGTCTTATCGGGGCATATTATTAATTTATCACAAGAGGTCAATTCTCAGCAGTACGTGATCCACATAAATCCAGAACGTTCTAGGCGGTGTGCAACGTCGAGACATCTGTGAACTTGCTTTAAAGGAGTTCTCGGAACGCGCCCTTCAAGGTTTGGGTTGGCCCAGTGGCTGGGTACGATCACGGTACGATATTCGGATCATCGGTGCACCAGGGCCTCGTTCGAGTAGTTTCTGGAGTGTTCTCCGTCCAAGGATGTTCGTGAAACTGATCCGGATGTCCAGAGGGATTTGAGGGAGCTGTTCCGTGGTCCCTATCAGCTGACGCTTCCTCGAGCTGCGCCGATAGCCGATAGCTGCTGTCACGTGAACGGTGGGCGTGTGTGTTTGTGATCCTCGACACGTGTTAAATCCATATAATAAGAGGTAATCGATATAGAAGTAGGCAGACGGTTTTATTGTAATTTATTTTAACCGTAATATACCATATTTGTGATCTGTAGAATTACGTAAAATAACAATTTGTCAACTGAAGTATGGAAATGACGTTCCGAGCGATTATTTCCTGCAAATTACATGTGCACATAAAGCAAATACTCACATGTACCGCATGTAGGGATCACTAAGTATGCAAGTCCTTGTATTCGCGATGTTTTACGCATTGCTACCGTGCTACGTATCTACATCACATACGTCCTATGCTGTGGTATTGTTTTTCAGTGTATGTACAATCTACATCACACATGCTTTGATATTATGTTTCAGTGAGGAGTGATTTTAGAGTAATGTTGGTAATTTCCTAGTCACTGTGAGCTTATGTCACGCGCTTTACGTGTTGTGTATTGCGTGTGGTCTTATGTTGTCACCTAGTTGACGTAACATTTGCAATGTCGTATTGTTCGGCTGCAGTGTGTCTCTGGCTCGTTCTCGCGGTTGTTTTTATTTATTTTTTCTTCCTATTGTACCGTAACAAAGACAATAGGGCTTACGTTTGTCATTGTGTACGGTGTATGAACAACATGGAGACATTCCAACCTGGCACGTGCCATTTGACCTGTCCTCAAGTTACCGATGATGCTGACTTGCCGACGTGGTTAGCGGACTGCGGAACATACGCATATCGCTCGCTTATTCCGTCCCCAAATGCCTTCGCTTGAACAGAACAGGCCGAATATATTGGGCTCGTTGGAGCCAGCTTCTGGGTAGGATTTGTGTATTGACTATGTAAGGCCGTGAACCAGACCAAGTGTCACTGGCCACTGGGTCACCACTCACCAGTGCCAGTGCCCTCGACTGTCAAAAGCTCCCGAGAAAGGCTGCAGTTCGTTTGTACGGAGTGCAACAACAGTGGACTTTCAGCCGCCGGGTGGATTTCGTCCACTTGTGGCCGAGAGCGCTGCTGTGGTACGGTTAAGTGACCCTCCACCAGCTCTGCTACCGGCCGGGGTCACTGCGTTATCGGGGGATCTCGATAGATCTGACCACTCGGGTCGCGGCTGATACGGGCTGAGAGCTGCCGTATCGCCGTCTATATAACGATGCGCGGCCTCATACGGTCAACTGAGCCGGTCACGCACAGGTAAGGGAGAGGTCACGGACGCGATCGAATGTGTCAAGAGGAAAAGGGTAAACGTAAAGTGTTGTTTGTTTTCTGTTGTTTGGTTGTCGCTCATTATTCGAGTCTTTAGGCAATGACTTCAGTTCTGGCATATCCTTCAGCTTTATTTGCAGCATTGTGTGTCGTGAATGAACCCTTTTTACTCATCATTCGCCGAGTGTGTTGAAATCCATCAGCCTTGCGCTCAAATTCTTAATTTACGACCCAAATTGATAAGCGATTTCATGCATGGCTCGAGGTACAGGGTGACATATACATATATACTCCGTACGTCAGCACTACTTACCACTGTATATTTGCACCACCACAGGCTCTCCCGACCCTGACCATGTATCTGTGGAGGTGCGCGCTGCTGCTGCTGGTGGGGGTGGCCGCGGCCCTGGCCGCCCAGCCCCGAGGCAGTCCGCAGGAGCTCGGAGGTACGCACACGACGGCATCCTATTCGGATATTGTGTAACTTTATTTTATTATAATATAGTGCCGCACATTCACAGCAAGCACAAGAAGATGACATGCATACCGAGATCTGATAGTCGATTATTTTCAGACACTTGTGATGATATTAGCCTACTTGCCGACTAGGAATCTTAGTATCTTCCAGTTCCAAGTTCCATTGCCGATACTAAAACTGTCGAAAATCTGTATTTGACAGTTCAGAACATTGCTTTCTTTCCCTTCAAATTCCTTAACCATCCAAATAACTACGCCTGCTCCCGCGTATAGTGTGGCCGATCCGCACGGCGGACGAGGGCCGCGGCCGGCGCACGTGCTACTTCTCTGCCTGGGCGTACAGCCGGCCCGAGCTGGGCAGCTATGACGTAGAGGACATCCCGGCCGACCTGTGCACCCACCTCATCTACTCGTTCATCGGCGTCAGCAACGTCACCTGGGGGGTGCTGATCCTCGACCCGGAGGTGGGTGGTCAGCTGCGCCTGGGCACGTCACCTGGGAGGTCCGCTCGGCGATCAGACAGCGCCATGCCGGGGATGTCCGCTGCTGCTCGAGCTCGGTAGTCGGACGAGGGTCAGGGTTTTATGGGACGGTGTAGGTATGTACATACGTGCTGCTGACGTCATTAAACATTTGGAGCCCTGTAAGGTAAAAGGGGATGTGGTCAGTCTAAAAAGGAAGATAACAGGAAAACCAGAGTCCAGGGATATACTGCAATTTTGCCGTAGGTTCTGGCTTCCCACGATGTTCTGGAATCCGTAATCAGTTACCATCCGCTCATCCGCTCTCATCGTCATTTCAATTATTTTAACTGCGCTACAGAGTGCGCTAAGAAGGTCCTCTCCCCACCTAGAATGACCTCCCATCTCCCCGCAGCACGACGAGGGCGCGGACGGCGGCTTCCACCGGTTCACGGCTCTGAAGCAGCGCTACCCGGGCCTGGTCACCACAGTGGCCATGGGCGGCTGGGGAGAGGGCGGCAAAAAGTACTCCGAGATGACCTCCGACCCCAGCCGACGCAAGTCGTTCATCGCCAGCGTCGTCGGTACGGACAAAGGCCGGGTGTGACGGCGGTAATCTTACATGGGTTATTGAGGTCCCTTGCTGTGTTTCTGCATCCGTTTTTACCGTTTACAAAATCATGCAGTTATTGATTTGGCGTGCCTTGTGTTTCCCTAAACATCACCCGCATCGAAACATCAACCGAATGAAATAACGAGTCAAATGATAAAGTGGCTACGGTACAATAAATGTATCTAATATAGGATGCTAGACACAACATAGATTTCTGATTATTATGCCTGGGCGGCGCCATCATGACATGTTCACCTTTCATCGGCAGCGTTCATCAAGGAGTACAACTTTGACGGCCTGGATGTGGACTGGGAGTACCCGGGCGCCTCGGACCGCGGCGGATCGTTCTCGGACAAGGCCAACTTCGTCTCCTTTGTGAGTATCCACTCGCTTCACCAAGTTCCCATATGCTTTGAACATGGAAGGAAATTGAATAATGGTGGCACACGAAATAAGGCTGTGTACGTCTCGGATGCAAATGTTGCATGCTATTTCAGAGTTCTGTTCCGGCACTGTTTGAACTGCCGCGAATAGTTCATGCGAAACACCAATCGGATAGTCGAGCAATAAAAAAATAACTGGTTATGGTACACCTAATGCAGCCCCATCTCTTCAATCGTATTAATAAGCTTGCTTTGCATACGCGGGGCTGGGGTCACTCACGTTTTTTACTCAGACCTGAATAAATCGCCCCATCTGCAGGCCTTGACACCTGGCACCTCCCATCGAGGCTCGTCGACCATCCCCTCCCCCCCCCCCCCCTCAGATGCAGGAGGCGCGCGCCGCGTTCGACGCCGAGGACCCGTCCTGGGAGCTGACGATGGCCGTCGGTGTGCCCGAGTTCCGGATCGGGGACGGGTACGACGTGCCGGCCCTGTGCTCGGTCGTTACCGCCGTACACACCATGACGTACGACCTGCGCGGCAACTGGGTCGGCTACGCGGACGTGCACACCCCGCTCCATATGAGGCCCGGACTGGATCAGTACGCCTACGAGAAACTCAATATTGTGAGTGGGCGCAGGGAAAGAGGAAAAGGGATAGGAGGGTCCGTCCATGGGGCTATAGACTCTGGGTATTACGGAAAGGAACAATGAACATCGACACTATTCTGCTGCATGTGTGCCTTTCCGTCTGTCACTCCCAGCTAGGCGCAAGTTTGTTCTTACTGATGTATTTTCTGTACTTTTCACGATCGCCGGAAAGTGTGACCTGGCACAGCTACCTCCCCTTCCCCACATCCTACGTTTTAGAGCTGACCCCTCCCTCCCTCTCCGTCGCCAGGAGGACTCGATGCAGGTGTGGGTGCGCCACGGCTGCCCCCAGAGTAAACTCCTGGTCGGCCTGGCCACCTACGGGCGCACCTACACGCTCAGCGACCCCAACAATCACGACCTGGGCGCCTGGGTGAAGAAATGGGTCGGCGGCGGCAACCCCGGACCCTACACTAACGCCACCGGCTCGCTGGCCTACTACGAGGTATGTTGTGAGGATATCCAGGGGGTGTTCTGACCGGGGGAGGGGAGGGGGAGCGGGTACCTAGGGTGATGGTGGCCGGGTGCCTACAGGATAGCCGTGGGAGAATGTGGGCTGTGGTTAGTAGCGCTGTGAATTATGAATATGGGGAAAGGGGTCTGTGTGGGAATGCGTGCAGACTAAATGATTTATGGGTTCCGAATCAATAATGGACGAAGGATATAATAAGTAAGGGGAGCGACTTCAAAAGGAAGTTCAAGTCACTCCATCCCACCATTTGTCAAAATAATGCCATATAAATGGCGTGAGAACATGCATAATATCACCACGTCCGCTCCATCTGCCAGATTTGCTCCACACTGGACAGCTGGAACCAGGATTATGACGACATCGGCAAATGTCCGTTCGCCTACAAAGGTAACTAGCTGGAAAATGGAAACCTCTGATTTCCCATGAACGATCACCACTTTTCAAATCGTGATAAAATGTCAGTTTAGATATACAAATATCACATCCGTCACAAAAAGCATCGTTTCATTAGCATGCTCCCATGCATAATAAATGCCCATACCTTGAAGCGCTGATCACTCCCTCCATCTTCTGCTTCAGATGACCAGTGGGTCGGGTACGAGGACCCGGACAGCCTCAAGTTCAAGACGGACTTTATCAAGGCGAACGGCTTTGGCGGCGGGATGGTATGGGCCACCGACATGGACGACTTCCGCAACCTGTGCGGCCGCGGCGCCAATCCCATGCTGCGGCTCATTTACGAGGAGCTGAAGGACTACGTGGTGCCGCCGTCACCCACCCTGCCGCCCACCACCAAGGTAAAGCTCGCTCCGTGTCTGCCCCCTCCCCCTCCCCCGCTCCCACCCTACCGCCCACCACCAAGGTAAAGCTCGCTCCGTCTCTGCTCTGCTCTCCCCGCCCCCTCTTCCCCCGCTCCCACCGTGCCGCCCACCACTAAGACACAGCGCGCCCCTTGTCTGCACCCCTCTGCCTCCGTAGCCCAACGACTGCCTGCCGGCGGATGGCTTACCGCAAGGGCAGTTGGCTTACCGCTGTTCCGTTCTATATTCCTCGACTCCCGTCTGACCTCCCTACCCCTCCCGTCGTCAGCAAACGTGGTACCCGCCGGCGCCGACGCAGCCGACGCCGCCTCCGGACGCCGACTGTTCGGGCGGCTGGGAGTACCTGCCGGCCCCGCGCTGTGACCAGTACTACTGGTGCTTCAACGGCGAGGCCCACCTGGAAACGTGTCCGACCGGCCTGATCTGGGACGAGACGCACAGCAGCTGCACATGGCCGGGCACGGCGCCGCCCGCCAACTGCACCATGCCGTCAGCCGCCGCAGTCGCCGGGGATAACAAGGTCAGGAGGAATGTGGAGATGAATCGGCTTTAGACTAGAGCGTCAAACTCAGTCTTCACCTTCATGAGGGATTCGCCATGCTAGTTAGCGAATTTTAGTCATTCACTCCCAGTATTTTTACAATAAGCACGCGATTCTGGAACAGAAAAGAGGCTCCGTAAAGACTAGCTATCTAACCTGACTTGTGGATACATGAGACTATTTTTCTTGTGAGCCGCTCCTTCACTCAGACCTGCCGTATGATTTCAGGCGCCCACTGGCTCGAAAATCGCCGCCAAGCCGCTCCCGATGCCCCTGGCTAAGAACTCGATCAAGAAGGCCGCTGCTGCCGCTGCTGAGGCCAAGCCCGTTCCGAAAAAGGCCGCGTCTGCTGCTGCCGGCTCGGACGCCGCTGCCAAGCCCAGTAAGCCCGCCCCGAAGGCGGCTCCCGCTGTTCAGACCAATAAGGTCCCGCAGAAGCCCGCTCCCCCCGCTCAGGAGGTGGTGCCCAGTCACGCGTAGTTGTGGTATTTAGTGTCTCTGCGGCCAGGGTGCGGCTATTTTCGGTGCTGTTATTGTGATGCGTTAAACGATCGTGCCAAGTGCAAATTGCCAGTGGGTTTGTGACGTTTCGACTCGTTGTGCCGTAGTGTTCGAATGGTATGGAGGCTACGAATGATAGCTGCGATAAAAATTATACGGAAGGTACGACAAAAGCTGTCGAGGTGGCTAATAAATAGTGGTTGAAAAGAGCTCGGCGTAGTACCTACCCTTTCACCTAAACAGCGCCCGTAGTATGCATCCGTGTGGTTACAATCGTTATTTCCTTTCGACTGCAGCAGCGATAGCGTGAAAACACGCTGGCTCCAACAACAAAGGAACATAAATTCGTACACAGGAATTTGAGGCGCTACTCCGGCGTGAAATACGATAAACGAGTCGACGCGACGGTCAGTCTAAAAACGGAATCAGAACCGAAAACCACAAGACTCATCATTCTTATAATCATTACAAAGCCGTGGCCCACACCCACAGCGACTACTTGGCATGCACGAACTCACCCAGTGCAGCTGGATCGGTTCGGAGTCACTTCCTTCCAGGCACTCAGTTCCGTATCATAGGTGAGTCAGTCATTGATTCACTCACGTGACGGACAGACATAGGCTATCAGCCGTGACCACAGGCGCCACACTGCAGTAGGAAGTGGTGGAGCGATTGAAACATAGCTGAGATCATTTCCCATTCAGGTATCGATTAGACCTTGAATGGTTTTGTAACGCTGCGGTAACTGCTAGTAAGTAAGAGGCCAATGCTACGAGTGGGTGGCTTCCTGGAAAGTGCCATGCATTGGATTACTGGCAGCTGAATTTGGAGTACACATGCGCGAAGCAAAGCTTGGATACATTCGGGACAGATGAATTCAATAACTAACTAACTACCCATTTGCCGTCCGCTTCAGTCTGATTCGTATCCCCCTGTCAAACTGTGGCTGTCGTGAAACATTACCCGCCGCTGCTCACATTACACGGCCGTTTTCCTCGTCTGTGGGGCGTCGGCCACGACCCCAATAGTTGGCCCGCTGCCAGCAGCCGCTCGGCCATCGCCGGAGGCCGTTCGCGGGTCACGTGACCATGCCCTGCGGCGCTTTCTCCGGCGACGTGACGGCTGCGGCTGAGGGCGGTGGCGCCGGGGTGGGACGGGGTTGTTGAATCATCGCTACTCGGTGAGGTATCGATGCGAAGTGAAATGGTGTTTTAAGACGATCAAGACCTATGTTATTGATTTGATTGATAACAGAAGATTGATCATAATTAATTCAAGTGATTGGGAAGTTAATTTCATTTATTGTGAATCACGAGGCATTGAACGGCACCGGAAAATCGCCTTAGCACATCTTCCAGGTAAGTTCAAATTGTTCGGCCAGTCGTTTACCTGTGAAAGAGGCAGCGTGCACTTCCACAATGCACATTGTATTCATTCATGGATAACTTGCTGCTGCCGTGTGAACTCCCCAAGGCAGGTTGAAGCATTACGCATAGAAATTAGAAGTGCAGCAATGTTTCGCGCAGGTTGAAAATCTTTTAGAGATATGATGTTTTAATTAAAGTGTAAAGTTAATAGAAATACATTTGACAGACCTACTTTTGAGTGACAGATCATTTGTATGAATGTATCTGATTGTAACTTGTAATGGGGCAGGAGTTTGGCATAGGCGCGGCTAATGAAGCTACGTCAGTGACACATGATTGCGTGTTACAAGCGGCACGCGTGCCGCCTTCAGCTCGGGTGTTCCATTATCGACACGAACAGACCATAATCGTACCATTACCGCGTCAAACTTCAGACCACCTCTGGAAATTGGGGCGACCCGCGACTCTACCAGTCGTGTTCACACGCACCGTTTGCTGCGAATCGCTGACTGTTGCTAATGGAGAGCTATCCGCGTGCACGCGCGTTTCTAATGGAGATTGATCATCGGGGATGTGTGTTACGTGCTCACAATTTGTGAAGCTGAAAGCTCGGTGTGCTGTAGCCCATGAGAGGGTGGTCGATGCGGTGGCTTACTGCATAGAGGCCATCAAATGTGGCTTGCCATTTATTTGTCCCTTGTTGCTGTTTACCGTGGATTGCTCACTCGCTCGTAACTCGCTCACTCGCTCACTCGCTCGTAATAACAAACAAACGCACGGAACAAATGTCACGGAAGTGACGTTATAGCGATATGGTAAACACGGTCCGGACTTTTTAGCCGCAATGCGCGATTGTCGACGACAGGAAGTCAGGATAACTTCACAGCGCATTCACCCGGCACATCAGATGGGAACTCAATCTAAAGCCCTAAACCCCAGAAATCCAAGCCGTCGCTCTGTTAACGACTTTCCTCTGGCGTCACAGATTATAATCAATCACAGTTGACCCGTCTGTGCATAAGCGTAGGAACCATGGGTGCAAGGGTGCAGCTGCACCCACAATATTTCTCCAGTGGGTGCAGACAATGTATTCTGCACCCACAATAATCTGAACCAAAAACCCCTTTTCTCATCAACACTGCTTTCCATGCAGCACGGCAAATTCAGGATATGTTGCCCACTAACCAACTTTCGAAGCATTTGCTTTTGTTCTTTAAGTTTCTCAGTGCTTGTGCGAGGATCATATTAACCCTCGCGGGCCCCGGGGGGGGGGCGTTTTTCGCCCCCCCCCTGGCGAATATTTGCGATAGCTCCCAAACGCTTAGGGATAGGAAAGCGAAACTTTCAGTACCTTTTCTCACATCAATTTGACATCTTCTGAAGTAGAAAATTTGGACCTAGCCCCATTGATGACGTCACAAGTTCCATTTTTCTAGACCCCTGCACGGCAAACTTCGGCGTCACAGGCGCAAACTTCAAATAGCTGCTAAAAATAGAGTTTTAGAGATAAAGACAAATTACGAGCACAGTTGTGTAGCGTTTGACTTAGAGAAAAATAGAAAAATAGTTTTGGTGACCTGAGGTCAGAGGTCAGGTCAACGACCCCGAAATGTGATTTTAGTTTTTCGCAAATAACTTCGACAAAAAAGGTCCTAGAGCTACGGCAATGGTACCATCGCATTCGCCTTGTCAAGCCGCGTCGAATGATATATATTTTGTTCGGAAAAGGTCAAGTTTTATGTTGACCTCATGTGACCTCGAATGACCTCTGGTTGACCTTGACACATGAGAGGTCATTTATGATGGATTTATACCCGCTGATCACGAATCTGGCATCTATTTTCCTCTAAGCCTTCATTTAGAGCTTCTAGATGGCAAAATTGTCTTATTTATTATTACTAGCTTGAATCAGTGAAATAGCCTCTAGCAGGGATACTCTTCTGTGACCTTGACCTTTGAGCAGCCTTGTATCGTAAGATGAACCACAAATAGGGAACTGATAAGCCTCAAAACATTTCAAAACATCTTGGAAGCTAGCACGCAAGATGTGCGAAAAAGTGCCAAATTTGAGGTCAATTTTAAGCGTGACCTTGACCTTGACCTTTAATTTTAAGCACATTTTCGGAATCCTCAGATTCTCTTCTTTCGTTTGACACCCAATTTTGCCGGTTTGATGCAGCCTGCCGTCCTCTAGAAGGCTTACTTTGAGATCACTACACATGTGCCGGTTTTTGCCTTTGACCTTGACCTCTGACCTTGAAAATTGACCTGAGGTCAAAAATTTTAGGTGCTTTAGAATCGTCTCGTAAGGACCTTTCGTTTGGTACCGCTTTCGTTTCCGTAGCTCCCTTATTTACGGAGTTAGACAGGGGGGCGAAAAACGCCCCCCCCCCCCGGGCTGCGGTGGTTGGGATTACCCCCCGGGCCCGGCCGGGTTAAAGCATTTTGATTAATGACCTTACCCTCGTAGTTTGAAAAAAGTTAGATCAAAACACTTGTTTATTAATAATTTCGAGCACAGCTCTTCATCAGAATACAAAGCTAAAAATGTCACGAGACATTTTTAGCTTTGTATTCTGATGAAGAGCTGTGCTCGAAATTATTAATAAACAAGTGTTTTGATTTAACTTTTGCAAACTACGAGGGTAAGGTCATTAATCAAAATGCATTTGCTTTTGTGATGGTCTTCAAAACTTACATTTGTGCTGAAGAAAAAAAGAAATGGAGCATGTGATTGAACACATACCGAGCCGATGACCCACTGTCAAAATGTTTAGCCCGATATCTTCGAAAATGGGTAAGTTGGCCGCTTTACTTTTTGCGGTAGTCAATATTGACAATATTAACCCTCGCATGTGTGCGGCGTTTTCCAGCTTCTAATGTGTAGGGGGGGGGGGTCGGTCGGACCCCCCTGCCGTTCGGCCCCTGATCGAGCTAGAGCTTCGCGGAAAAACGAGGGTTATTCCCGTGACAAGAGGAAGCCGATGATAACCAATTTTAAGGTCCTAGGTCATTGGTTGACCTTCCAGGTCAGGTCAATGTTCCAAAAGTCGGGAAAATCGGGACCTGCTAGAACTGCGTAAAGTGAAGCTGTTAGCGGGTTTTCCGGGGTGCTGATCACGAATATCATGTTAGTTTTGATAACAGATGATTTATTCATGCAATTAGGCCAGATCGGGTCAGGTCAGGTCAGGTCAACCATTAGGCGTCCTACCGGCTATCCATAGTAGGTGTCAACTACCACTGGCGGCGTCGTAGCATGTTACGAAGGCACTAAAACTACTTCATAAACGTTCAAATGGATGCTAAATTCGAAATCAGCCCGAAAAACTACCCTAGAAACATGTAATACTCGAAAAAGTGAACCGAGGTCATCAAAGGTCAATGACCTGACCTGACCTTCAGGTGACCTTCACATCCACCGTGATGCATGGGACGAACATCATTTCACATGTTTGGACGTCTATAATCACAAAAAGACCATGGAAACGCGCGGATAATGTGAGCTGACATACGCCAAATCACGATTCCGGCCGAACATGGTCTCGAGAATCAGGTCACAGGTCAAAGGTCTTTTGGGTCAGGGTCATGAAATTTTCAGAGTAGGTGTAAAACTGATCAACTCGAGGGTGCTTAAAGTTTCGTCGTTATCGGCCGCTCTTTGCGCGAGTTATTTACGAAAAACCATGGGGGGGGGGGCTCATCCGAACCCCCTACTCATGCGAGGGAATTAATGCTTCCAAATGCACTTATCGGTCGGTACCTTTTCGACATGGTGTATACTAGAGGTGGCAAAAGATGAAAATTTTGAGAACTAGACTCGAACCAGACCCGGCTGGACA